CCTATGAAAGTAAAAGACTGGGCAGGCGATGCAAAATACCCCCAGTGAAAAGTAGGGGCGCCATTGGTACACTAAGGAAAAAAAAACCATAAGTGTCCGGGGCCCAAGACTGTTCAACAGCCTTCCACCATGCATAAGGGGAATTATCAATAGGCTCCTGGCTGACTTCAAGAGGGAGCTGGACAGATACTTAAGTCTGTGCCGGATCAGCCGGGCTGTGGTTCGTACGTTGGACTACGTTCGGCCAACAATAACAGCCTGCTTGATCAGGCCCTGATCCACCAGGAGGTCTGGACGTGGACCGGGCCGCGAAGGCGTTGATCCCCGGAATATCCTCCAGGTAGACTCTTCATACAAAGAGATATCACCAACAATCTCTCTAGTTGTCTTCAAGAAGGAACTCGACAGATTCCTCAAAACAGCTCCTGATCAACCAGGCTGTGGTGCATACGTTGGACTGCAGGCGCAGGGCACTAACAGCTTGAGGAGCAGGGGTGCGGTGGGGACAATAAGGGAACACTGTATCAACATCAGGGGTCCCAGACTTTTCAACATCTTACCAGAAGATATCAGAAACACTGATGGAACCAGTGTAGAAGCCTTCAAGAGGAAACTAGACAGGTATCTTCACCAGGTGCCAGATCAACCAGGCTGTGATGGATATGTGGGGCAACAGCCTGGTTGACCAGGCAAGCACCAGACGAGCCTGGCCCATGGCCGGGCTCAGAGAGTAGATAAACTCTCAAAACTCTTCAAAGGTATATCAAAGATCAGGCCAGCAACCAGGAGGCCTAGTCTGGGAGCGGGTCGCGAGGGCGGTGACCCCCGGAAGTGACTCCAGGTCAACTCCAGGGAAGGGTGAGCGAAGCTGCCTCGTAAACTCTTCCTTCACGAGAAAATTAGCAGAAAAATTTCCTGGGACACAATTAGGTCCGCACAAAAAATATATTGTCTGAGTTCAAGGAATTTAACGAGGCATACGGAGGCAATCTTCAACGCCACGGACACAATCTTCAACACCACGGACACAGTCTTCAACACCACGGACACAGTCTTCAACGCCACGGACACAATCTTCAACACCACGGACACAGTCTTCAACACCACGGACACAGTCTTCAACACCACGGACACAATCTTCAACACCACGGCCACAATCTTCAACACCACGGCCACAATCTTCAACACCACGGCCACAATCTTCAACACCACGGACACAATCTTCAACACCACGGACACAATCTTCAACACCACGGACACAATCTTCAACACCACGGACACAATCTTCAACACCACGGCCACAATCTTCAACACCACGGACACAATCTTCAACACCACGGACACAATCTTCAACACCACGGACACAATCTTCAACACCACGGCCACAATCTTCAACACCACGGACACAATCTTCAACACCACGGACACAATCTTCAACACCACGGACACAATCTTCAACACCACGGCCACAATCTTCAACACCAAGGCCACAATCAACACCACGGACACAATCTTCAACACCACGGACACAATCTTCAACACCACGGCCACAATCTTCAACACCAAGGCCACAATCAACACCACGGACACAATCTTCAACACCACGGCCACAATCTTCAACACCACGGCCACAATCTTCAACATCACGGCCACAATCTTCAACATCACGGCCACAATCTTCAACACCAAGGCCACAATCAACACCACGGCCACAATCTTCAACACCACGGCCACAATCTTCAACACCACGGCCACAATCTTCAACATCACGGCCACAATCTTCAACACCATGGCCACAATCTTCAACACCACGGCCACAATCTTCAAAGTGGCAGGCGCCTTCTCGTGAGCAACTGACTCAAGGCAGAAAAACATATGCAAAGGTTCCGACCGAACCTTCGAGCATGACAGAACTCAAAATTTCTCCTAGAGGAGGAGAACCTGCCAAGTTTGGACCAGTAGGCGGGTTCAATCCCGGCCGGGGGTATGGTTTTTTTTCCTCGAATCTTACGTTCTCCTCAGAGAGGCTCTGAGAGTGACTATCAGCGCCCACTGAGCTCTGCACCTGACAGATCACCTGGATCCTTGTACCTTCCAGTAACATTTATTTGAAAATATCTGTAAAAATTCCTAAACTATAAGAGCCTTTGAATTTATAACCTCCTGGATCACTAGTAACGTGGGTTGGATCACCAGTAACGTGGGTTGGATCACTAGTAACGTGGGTTGGATCACCAGTAACGTGGGCCGGATCACCAGTAACGTGGGTTGGATCACCAGTAACGTGGGTTGGATCACCAGTAACGTGGGTAGGATCACCAGTAACGTGGGTTGGATCACCAGTAACGTGGGTTGAATCACCAGTAACGTGGGTTGGATCACCAGTAACGTGGGTTGGATCACCAGTAACGTGGGTTGGATCACTAGTAACGTGGGTTGAATCACCAGTAACGTGGGTTGAATCACCAGTAACGTGGGTTGGATCACCAGTAACGTGGGTTGGATCACCAGTAACGTGGGTTGGATCACTAGTAACGTGGGCCGGATCACCAGTAACGTGGGTTGGATCACCAGTAACGTGGGTTGGATCACCAGTAACGTGGGTAGGATCACCAGTAACGTGGGTTGGATCACCAGTAACGTGGGTTGAATCACCAGTAACGTGGGTTGGATCACCAGTAACGTGGGTTGGATCACCAGTAACGTGGGTTGGATCACTAGTAACGTGGGTTGGATCACCAGTAACGTGGGCCGGATCACCAGTAACGTGGGTTGGATCACCAGTAACGTGGGTAGGATCACCAGTAACGTGGGTTGGATCACCAGTAACGTGGGTTGAATCACCAGTAACGTGGGTTGGATCACCAGTAACGTGGGTTGGATCACCAGTACCGTGGGTTGGATCACCAATTACGTGGGATGGATCACCAGTAACGTGGGCCGGATCACCAGTAACGTGGGTTGGATCACCAGTAACGTTGGTCGGATCACCAGTAACGTGGGTTGGATCACCAGTAACGTGGGTTGGATCACCAGTAACGTGGGTTGGATCACCAGTAACGTAGGCCGGATCACCAGTAACGTGGGCCGGATCACCAGTAACGTGGGTCGGATCACCAGTAACGTGGGTCGGATCACCAGTAACGTTGGTCGGATCACCAGTAACGTGGCTTGGATACGAGTAACGTGGGTTGGATCACCAGTAACGTGGCTTGGATCACCAGTAACGTGGCTTGGATTATCAGTAACGTGGGTTGGATCACCAGTAACGTGGGTGGGATCACTAGTAACGTGGGCTGGATCACCAATATCGTGGGTTGGATCACCAATAACATGGGCTAGATCACTAGTAATGTTGGCCAGTAACGTAGGTTGGATCACCAGTAACATGGGTTGGATCACTAGTAACATGGGTTGGATCACTAGTAACGCGGGCTGGATCACCAGTAACGCGGGTTGGATCACCAGTAACGCGGGCTGGATTACACTAGCCTAGCAATTAACAGGCCTAACTAACTAGCACCCACACTACCTGAACTCCCTAATTAGGAATACCTGCTGTAAATTCCTGGGGGAGGGGGGTCATCGCTCCCTGCCCCAGACTAGATCACCTTGTTGATAGCCAGTCAGCACTCAGCCCAGCGCTGACACTGGAAATTCACTGGAGTCTTGCAAGACAGTGAGCGAGTGAGTGAGAGAGAGAGAGAGAGAGAGAGAGAGAGAGAGAGAGAGAGAGAGAGAGAGAGAGAGAGAGAGAGAGAGAGAGAGAGAGAGAGAGAGAGTGAGTGAGTGAGTGAGTGAGTGAGTGAGTGAGTGAGTGAGTTTGTGTGTTACCATCTGTTATAGGCACCTGCCATTAAGACACTTGGGCGGCGGCGACTTGGCCTGTAGTGTGTGTGTGTGTGTGTGTGTGTATGTGTGTGTATGTGTGTGTGTGTGTGTGTGTGTGTGTGTGTGTGTGTGTGTGTGTGTGTGTGTGTGTGTGTGTGTGTGTGTGTGTGTATGTGTGTGTATGTGTGTGTATGTGTGTGTATGTGTGTGTATGTGTGTGTGTGTGTGTGTACTCACCTAATTGTGGTTGCAGGGGTCGAGACTCAGCTCCTGGCCCCGCCTTTTCATTGATCGCTACTAGATTCTCTCTCTGCTTTCTGAGCTTTGTCATACCTCGTCTTAAAGCTATGTATGGTTCCTGCCTCTACTACATCACTTGCTAGGCTATTCCACTTCCTGACGACTCTATGACTGAAGAAATACTTCCTAACATCCCTGTGATTCGTCTGAGTCTAAAGCTTCCAATTGTGACCTCTTGTTTCTGTGTCCCATCTCTGGAACATCCTGTCTCTGTCCACCTTATCTATTCCACGCAGTATTTTGTATGTCGTTATCATGTCTCCCTTGACCCTCTTGTCCTCCAGTGTCGTCAATCCGATTTCCCTCAACCTTTCTACGTAGGACATACCCCTGAGCTCCGGAACTAACCTTGTTGCAAACCTTTGCACTTTCTCTAATTTCTTGACGTGCTTGACCAGGTGTGGGTTCCAAACTGGTGCTGCATACTCCAGTATGAGCCTGATGTACACAGTGTACAGTGTCTTGAACGATTCCTTACTAAGGTATCGGAACGCTATTCTCAGGTTTGCCAGGCGCCCGTATGCTGCAGCAGTTATCTGGTTGATGTGTGCCTCCGGAGACATGCTCGGTGTTATGGTCACCCCAAGATCTTTCTCCTTGAGCGAGGTTTGCAGTCTTTGGCCAACTAGCCTATACTGTGTGTGTGTGTGTGTGTGTGTGTGTGTGTGTGTGTGTGTGTGTGTGTGTGTGTGTGTGTGTGTGTGTGTGTGTGTGTGTGTGTGTGTGTGTGTGTAACGCAGCAAGCAGGTTCCTACCGTCTAGATCAACATGACTGCCAATAACCTCCAGGAAACAACATAAAAACAATCTACATGTTCGGTGTGGCCGCCGCCACAACTACAACAACAAGTGATCACACCAGCACTCACCCGGATCTCTTCTAGGGTGACCGAGTTGTCTGTATACTGGACGAGCAGGGTGGGATCTAGCGGCGGTGACTCCTTGATCTTGGAGGAGAGGAAGAGGCAGACGGTGCCCAGGAGCTGGAGCTGGTCGCGCCGCACCTTCACCAGCGACAGGAACCGGTCCATCATGTTCATGGCCAGCGTGAACACCTCCTCCTCCTGCCGCTCCTCCTGACACAGCTGTGGGGGAGGGGAAGACACAGTCACGGGGGGGCCAGTATGATGGGGAGGGGCAGGGAGTGGGTGTAGGGGGCTGGGTTGGGGTGGGGGGGGGTGGAGGGGACAGGTGGAGAAGGGTGAGGGGACAGGTGAAGAGGGTAAAGGGGACAGTGAAGGGTAAGGGAAAGGGAGGGTTGGAGGGGACAGGTGAGAGGGTAAAGGAAACAGGTGAGAGGATGGAAGGGGGGGGGAGGTGCGAAGCAATGAACGGGGGAGGGGTTGATAAGTTGTGGTAGGAGACGTAGTTATAGGATGTAGGGGCAGATAAAGAGGATGGAGAGGGGCAGGTGAAAATGGGGAAGAGGGAATGAGAGAGTTATGTTGTTTTATATTAAAACAAATAATAAAGGCATCATTACCTAGAGCATGTTGAGTGGTAGCACAGGTGTGCACCGAGACTAATGAACTTACCTGCACATTATATATATATACCTTAATGCCAGCCTACAACAAACACAATTATCTATATAGCTGTGTCAACCTACAACACAATCATAGTCACCCATGCCAGCCTACAACACAATCATAGTCAACCATGACAGCCTACAACACAATCATAGTCACCTATGCCAGCCTACAACACAATCATAGTCACCTATGCCAGCCTACAACACAATCATAGTCACCTATGCCAGCCTACAACACAATCATAGTCACCTATGCCAGCCTACAACACAATCATAGTCAACCATGACAGCCTACAACACAATCATAGTCAACCATGACAGCCTACAACACAATCATAGTCACCCATGCCAGCCTACAACACAATCATGGTTACCCATGACAGCCTACAACACAATCATTGTCACCCATGCCAGCCTACAACACAATCATAGTCACCCATGCCAGCCTACAACACAGTCACCCATGGCAGCCTACAACAAAATCATAGTCACCCATGCCAGCCTACAACACAATCATAGTCACCCATGCCAGCCTACAACACAATCATAGTCACATATGCCAGCCTACAACACAATCATAGTCAACCATGACTGCCTACAACACAATCATAGTCAACCATGACAGCCTACAACACAATCATAGTCACCCATGCCAGCCTACAACACAATCATGGTTACCCATGACAGCCTACAACACAATCATAGTCACCCATGCCAGCCTACAACAAAATCATAGTCACCCATGCCAGCCTACAACACAGTCACCCATGGCAGCCTACAACACAATCATAGTCACCCATGCCAGCCTACAACACATAGTCACCCATGCCAGCCTACAACACAATCATAGTCACCCATGGCAGCCTACAACACAATCATAGTCACCCATGCCAGCCTACAACACAATCATAGTCACCCATGCCAGCCTACAACACAATCATAGTCACCCATGCCAGCCTACAACACAATCATAGTCACCCATGCCAGCCTACAACACAATCATAGTCACCCATGTCAACCTACAACACAATCATAGTCACCCATGCCAGCCTACAACACAATCATAGTCACCCATGCCAGCCTACAACACAATCATAGTCACCCATGCCAGCCTACAACACAATCATAGTCACCCATGCCAGCCTACAACACAATCATAGTCACCCATGCCAGCCTACACACAACAGCCACCATGAGCTAAACACAATATATCAACCCCGAAGCCCAATCACTCTATCCGTGTTACCATGCCAGTCTAAACCCGCCCCTGCCAGTCCCTTAACAACATTCCCCTCAGTCGAAACACATCATAAATAGGACATAGAACACACAAAAGTCAACATATACCCAAACAACTGAAGTACATTCAGCCTACCCAATCATAGTCCAATTGCAGAATACAGAAATATACAGAGAACCTTACGCACGTAATAAGTTCCCATCAACAACCAATAATACCATGGCTAAACACATGGAAGCACCCCTGACTTTAAAAACAACTAGGACGCCCGCTCAACACAATATGTACCATAACTACACGAAATTACAACTGAACATACCATATTGTCCCATGTTCACCCACAAAACAAAAGACCCATGCCAGCTACCTGAATCATAGTACCCAACCACTGTACAAACATCGTAGTCCCCAGACCCACAACACAATACATAGACACCAGCACGCTACAATGTACAATATATCATGAGGTAAACAGAACATAGTCCACCAGTGCCAAACAACAGCTTGATGACATTGCAAGCCACACACAAACAGCCTTTGCCAGCTCAAACATCATGACCTGGCCCAGGCTATGCAGTAGAACAGACTCGAACACGTCAGGGTGGTATCAAATCAAAGGAAAGGATAAATATCGACCTATGTTTTGTGTTACATCTTCTGACTCGGGTAACTTGCACCCGTCCTAGCTAAATATATCACGCTAATCAATCGGAAAGGTACATTCATAAATAAAGACAAAAACACACAGGAAAAGTCAAATATAAACCGAACTTAAGCTGAAGTACATTAACATCCCCATTCAAGGCAGGTGAAATTGCGGATCTAGAGAATATACAGAGAACCTTTACTGCACGTATAAGTTCCATCAAACACCTTAACTACTAGGAACACTTGGAAGCACTTGACTTGTACTCACTGGAGCGCAGGCGAGAGAGATGTATCATAATCTACACCTGGAAGAGTTACCAACTGAAGAGTTACCAGTTATTGTCCATGTTCACGGCACAGAAAAGACCAGCAACTTAGCCTTGGAAGCAATTACCGAACACTGTATCAACATCCGGGGCCCCAGACTATTCAACACCTTACCAGAAGACACCAGAAGCACTGCTGGAACAAGTGTACAAGTTTTCAAGAGGAAACTGGACGAGTATCTTCACCAGGTGCCAAATCAACCAGGCTGTGATGGATATGTGGGGCAACGGGCCACCAGCAGCAACAGCCTGTTGACCAAGCAAACACCTGACCTGGCCCATGGGCTATGCGAGTAGAAAGACTCGGAAATCGTCAAGGGTGTATCAAAGGTAAAGGTATAAAGGTATAGACACAGTGCTCAGAATGTGCCGTACATCTTCAGGACTCGGGATTCTTGCACTCTCATGACTAAATTGATCTGCGCTAACAACTCTAATCTTGCTACTATAATAACCACTACAACAACACAACACACAACCAGGTAACATAATTTTGCACCACTACTACATTTTGCTACAACTACAACCACTAGAGGGAACATCACAGCACATAACCAGGGAACACTATAGCACACAATCAAATAATATCATTGAATACAGCCAAAGAACACCACTGCACACAACCAAGGAACATCAGTGCACACAACCAAGGAACATCAGTGAACACAGCCAAGGAACATCAGTGCACACAGCCAAGGAACATCAGTGAACACAGCCAAGGAACATCAGTGCACACAACCAAGGAACATCAGTGCACACAACCAAGGAACATAAGTGAACACAGCCAAGGAACATCAGTGCACACAGCCAAGGAACATCAGTGAACACAGCCAAGGAACATCAGTGCACACAGCCAAGGAACATCAGTGAACACAGCCAAGGAACATCAGTGCACACAGCCAAGGAACATCAGTGCACACAGCCAAGGAACATCAGTGAACACAGCCAAGGAACATCAGTGCACACAGCCAAGGAACATCAGTGCACACAGCCAAGGAACATCAGTGAACACAGCCAAGGAACATCAGTGCACACAGCCAAGGAACATCAGAGTAATTAAGACGTTTCGTTACTAGCGAACTTGCAATCCTAATACAGAGGTAAACAAACAATTTACGGCCAGGTGTGACCCTCGACGACAGGCAGAGTGGTGGAGTCACCTGTCGGAGACGTGGTCGGGATCGTATACCGTGGGTGAGAAAGGTTTCCTTTGAGAAAGACCAACCTTGAATGTGCTAAATGTTGCAAATCTGTCTCATCCTAGGCTAGCAGGCCTAATTCAGTGCTCTCCATTCTCATGATCATGTCACCTGATAGCAGTGTTTTGGCTAGGCAAGATCATTTTGGCGACAATTCTCAAGAGGCTAAGGTTTCCCTGAATTTTGTAGTCTTTGAAGTCGAAATCTGTGAGGCTTTCAGGCACCGACGTGTAAGTGAATCACTTGCTTAGATGAGCAGCTCTTTTCCCTTCCACCTCATAATGTGACCATGTGTGTGGTCACCATGCTGGACACATACGTTATTCATATCATCATGGCTGGCATAAACCTATAAACCTTGGTTACAGATTCCTTAGTAACAGATACAAATTAGTTTAAAAAGACACGTGAGTAAACACTAGGACATATTTGTTAGAAAACATTTCAGTCCTGGGACCCTAAAGTGATCATTCATCACGGCTGCTACAGGCATATCTGTCTTTACTAACACGTTGGCATCTAGTAGTGGCACATCTTCCGCAAGATGTCGTTCCAGACCATGGAACCGAACTCTTCTCCAGGCTGAGGGACTGACCACCTCAAATACTTTTTCTCCAAAGGTTGATGGACCGATTATATCATCTTTATTCCACTACTACTTTTCCCTCTGTATTTGACTGAAGAAGCATACTGTCAACCTACCTGGAGTCTACCTGGAGAGTATTCCAGGGATCAACGCCCCCACGACCAGGCCTCCCGGTGGATCAGGGCCTGTTCAACAAGGCTGTTACTGCTGGCCGTACGCAATCCCACGTACGAACCACAGCCCGGCTGATCCGGCACCGACTTTACGTATCTGTCCAGCTCCCTCTTGAAGACAACCAGTGTCTACTGGTAATGCTCCTTATTGCTGGTGGGAGGCTCTTGAACAGTCTTGGGAACCGGACACTTAATGTGTTTTCTCTTAGTGTACTAGTGACGCCCCTACTTTTCACTGGGGGTATGTTACATTGCCTGCCAAGTCTTGCTTTCGTAGGGAGTGATTTCTGTGTAGATTAGGGACCAGTCCCTCCAGAATCTTCCAGGTGTAGATTATGATATATCTCTCTCGCCTGCGCTTCAGTGAGTACAAGTCAAGTGC